GGCATATAAACTCTAGATCCAATGAGTTTCAATTCCACCCAGTTCAACATGTCATATTCAAGCTAGAACAAAATGAGTATGATCAATCCATATTGAAGAAAAAATTCTACTCACATCAAAATGATCCTCACAGCACAATATATCATTCAATTCCAGGTATGGTTTATCCCTCGGTTTATCCATATACTTTGTTCAGTATTGATTAAGCAGGATGAAACCAAGTTTGTGGCATTTTCTTACAGCTACTGCCATCCCAGAAATGTGAATCAACGTTGATGAGAAAAAATAAATAATTCGAATGGCACGAATAAAAATGATATTGGCCGACAAAAACAAATAAACAATAAAATATAATAACAACTGACAGTAGTGACAGATGAACGAATCGTCAACTGTCCACACAGTCAACAGTCCAGAAGATATCAAGCGACGTTGCCGGATCACCGTCTAATACTTGTCACGTCACATTAACGCGCGATATTCCATTTCGTTTGAACGGGATCAAATTTTTTGTGGAAAAACTACTTCGAATAAAAATCTTAAAAAAATACCTGAGACTTTTATCGTCATACTGAAGCCATGGTATTTTTTCCAGAAATTCGTGTTCTCGCCTATTGCCGCTGTCGCACCGTGCCATATCATAGTGACCACAGCGGACGAAAAGTTAGTTTATGTGGAGGAAAAGTACTTGCCTTCTAAAATAGTCGATTTTTCATCCGGAAATAACTACGTTCATTTTTCCGCAACCGACACAAAAGTCGTCGATTTTAATACCAAAATTAGCTCTTGAATTGACGTTACTATTACTGACTCAAACATAGGTATGTTGCTAGGCAACACTTTTAGTTCCTAGGAGCTCAAGTTTAACTCTAGCTCCTAGGAACTAAAAAGGATGTACTAGGTCATCAAGAATAAACAACATTGTTATGGTTGGTTATTTGGGTTGAGACGCACACCTGATTTGTTCTCGATTTTGGCAGATCTGGCATTTCATACCGATGCTGGAGATATAAATACGCACCACATCAAAGTTAAGTATTTTTGTTTTGATCAGGAAAGCCCTCAAGATTCACATAATTGGTTGATCTGTATTCCATTCGTTACCTATTCTCGGGATCTGATTGATTGCATAACTTGTTTATGAATAATCACGGCCAGCTATACTATTTTGTCTCACACACCGATATTTGATTACCGAGCCAAACACAGTGGAATATGGATCAAGAGAAATAAATAATCGCTATTATTATTGTTGGTATGATCACTAACCTAACATTTTCCACTTCTTTCCTATACCTGGCACTGGCGCGGTATTTGCTATTAGGCTGACACCTGGTCCAAATGAATTCATCGATTCATCGATTCAATAGAATACACAGGGTCACTTTGAGGTTGTATTTATATTGAAATTACAATTCGAACATCCTTGAAAATTTAATAAACCTGATCTGTAAATGCAAGTAAAATGCAGGTAGAATATTCTCAACACACGGATTATTTGTTGCATTGCATATGTACAGGGCTAGTTTTATTAATGTGAACCCCTACTAATCCTTTTTGTTTTTCACTCATAAAAAAAATGATGAAGATTTTATTCAATTATTTTTTATATAGGCTCCAATCATAGTGACAGTGTTGCAATATCTCTTCAAATATACAGGGAATTCAGAAAATATATACTTTTTAAATGGAATGCACTGTATATTTTGATAGATATGAATCCCTTATATCATATATTTGAAATCAGGATGAAATGAGGAACCCAAATCTATCAAAATATACTGCGCATTCCATTTGAGAAAAAATATATTTTTCTCAATACCCTGTATATTTGAAGAGATATTGCATCATTGTCAATATGAGTGGAATCTGTATAAAAAATTGTATAAAATCAGCTTCAATTTTTTTTAATGAGTGTAGAACAATAAAGATAAAGGGGGTTCACATACCCCAATAAACTTAGCAGAACCACTTCAAAATTTGGGATTTGCAATAGTACTATAATTTGTTACTAATTTAGTACTAATTTATTATCATATTCGCAAATTTATTACTCTTCATTGAACAGAAAAAAGCAACGGCTCTGCTAGCTTTATGTCAACCTAGCAGAACCATAGCTGAAAATTTAATATTTTGAAAATTTTAAATATACCATAATTTATGACTATTTTATTACTCACTTATAACTATAATCACGAATTTTTTACTCATCATTTCAAGGAAAAAAACGCCTATTTGCCTATCTCGATCTCAACCTAGCAGAACCAAAAGTCAAATGACGTGTTTTTTGAAGTTCTATATTGAATTATCAATACTAGTTTATTGGCACATTCGCAAATTCCTAACACTTCATTAAAAAGAAAAAAAACAACGGCTCTGCTCGCCGATTCGTCTTTCAAATGTGTGATGAGTAAAAAATTCGTGATTATGGTAGTAAGTTAGTAATGAACTAGTAAAAAACTATGGTACATTTGAAGTTTTCAAAATAATACATTTTTTTCTATGGTTCTGCTAGGTTGATTAAAAGCTAGCAGAGCCGTTGATTCTGTCTGTTGAATGAAGTGTTAGAATTTTACGAATTTGGTAATAAATTAGTAATGAATTAACAACTAATTGATAATTCGATAGAGTTTCAAAAAACATGTGATTTGAGTTTTGGTTCTGCTAGGTCGAGATCGAGATAGACAAATAGGCGTTTTTTCCTTGAAATAATGAGTAAAAAATTCGTGATTTTGGTCCTAATTTAGTAATAAAATAGTTATAAATTATGGTGTATTTGAAATTTTCGAAATAGAAATTTTTTAGCTATGGTTCTGTTAGAGTTGATATATAAAGTTAGCAAACCGTCGATTTTGCCTATTGTATGAATTGTTAGAATTTTGCGAATGTGACAATAAATTAGTAATGAATTAGTAACTTATTGATGTTTCAACAGTTTCAAAAAACATGTGATTTGAGTTTTGGTTTTGTTAGGTTGATATCGAGATAGACAAATCGGCGTTTTTTTTTCCTTGAAATAATTATTAAAAAAATCGTGATTATAGTAATATTAAGTTAGTAATAAAATGGTAAAAAACTATGGTATATCAGAAGTTTTCAAAATGATGAATTTTCAGCTATGGTTCTGCTAGGATTACATAAAGATAGCAGAGCCGTTGATTTTGCCTATTGAATAAAGTGAATTTTGCGAATGTGGTAATAAATTGGTAATAAATTAGTAATAAATTAGTAACTTATCAATGATACAAGAGAATTTCAAAAACATGTATTTTAGTTTTGGTTCTGCTAGGTTTTCAAAATAGTAATTGTTTAGCTATGGCTCTGCTAGGTTGACAGCAAGCTAGCAGAGCCCTTGGTTTTCCCTGTTGAATGAAGTGTTAGAAATTTGCGAATGTGGTAATAAATTAGTAACTTATCGCTAATTCAACAGAATTTTAAAAAACATGTGATTTGAGTTTTGGTTCTGCTAGGTTGAGATCGAGATAGACAAATCGTCGTTTTTTTCCTTGAAATGATGAGTGAAAAATTCGTGATTATAGTTATAAGTTAGTAATAAAATAGTTATAAATTATGGTATATTTAAAATTTTCAAAATATGAAATTTTCAGCTATGGTTCTGCTAGGTTGACATAAAGCTAGCAGAGCCGTTGGTTTTTTCTGTTTAATGAATAGTAATAAATTTGCGAATATGATAATAAATTAGTACTAAATTAGTAACAAATTATAGTACTATTGCAAATCCGAAATATTGAAGTGGTTCTGCTAAGTTTATTGGGGCGGTTCACATTAATGAAACTAGCCCTGTAGATATGGCACGACATCCATGTTTCGGGTATAGTAATGAATTCTTGCCATTTTTTTTCTGTTCATCTTATAGAACTCATTCTCAATACGACTATACAATATGATCAATATAGCATTACAGTCAAAATTAGAAAGAAGTAAATGATTTGCAGGTTGTTATACTGTTAAAACCAGTTATTTCTTGAAAAATCAGAGCTACATAGGAAGTCTGAATAGGTGATATAAGGTGAGTGCAGCAAGTGATGATAACATGCATTTCAAGAAATAATTCAAGAAAAAATCGATATTTTTTCATTAAAGTAATTGAAATTAATCGAAATTTCCGAAAATCAATTTCTTGCTAAATATCTAGTCCAATATATCACTGGATTTATAATAAAAAGTTCTATCAGATAAACCGAGAAAAAATGGGGGTGCAATATGATAATCCAAAGCTAGGAGTGGTTTCTAATAAAATTATCTGCCACAAGGGTGATTCGATTTCTTATCTTGGAGAGCTTTTGCTCCTATATTTTCCACACGTTTATGATCGTTAATACTGGAAAACTTTTCTGCTGTGTTCTATTGATTTTTTTTATCGCTTGGAGCGCACGACAGGGAATCCCTATAATGTTCATAGAACATCGTGCGTTCCTAGGGAGGATAGGGATAGGGGGTAGGTATTCTACATTATGAAAAGTTTATATCCCTGAAGTTAAAGATTAATCAGTGGACCTTTTGCTTCTCTATATCATCGTCTCTCTTATTTCAAATGGGATATTAAAAGTGATTTGGAAAACATATCATCTTGGGTGCAAATTCATAAGTTGACTCTGAATTATAACAAATCTTCATATATGTAAGAGATTAGTCAATATTTCGAATAATGCAATAACTTTCAACAATAGATTAATTAAATATACAGACGACAACATTTTAAGGTCTCTATATTAATGAAAAATTATTATTGACTAAAAGACCATATGATAAGTAAATAAATTCGATCATAGGCATTTTATTGAAAATCCGAAATATCATTCCCATGAAATATTTGAAATGTATTTACTTTTGACTCATTTATTCAAATTTGCAATATAATGTAAAGTACAAATATTTCACGCCTGAAACCACTGATGAAATTAGAAAACAAATCAATTATGTTATGTTTATGATTTATGTTAGTTTTTTAAAAACATGACAGGATTGGTCATTTTTAGAGGTCACCCACTCTGTGAGTTCTGCGACACCCGATTCATGGACAGTGAAGAACTTTTCCGCCATCTTCGCAGGATTCACTTGTTTTGTCACTTCTGTGATGCGGATGGCAAACATCAATTCTACAACAACATGCATGACTTGGTGAGGCATTTTCGAGAAGAGCATTTCTTGTGTCAGGAAGGCGAGTGCAAATCATCGCCTTTGACGGCCGTCTTCAGAACTGACATTGATTGTAGAGGTACGTCAAATCTCCAAAGAGTTTACTTGAGTTTTTTCTTTCAGACTTGATAGCTCATAACCTCTGTGGAACCGGCGACAAATCGACAATCCAAGAGGATTATTTGGATAAAACATATTCATTTCTGCTTAATTAGCTTATGACAAAAAAGATTGAATGAGTTTTATAACATATTGAGTACCCATAACATCATAAGTGCCTGGAACTCAGACTAATAATTATGAATTTATTAGATTGTGAGATACAATACAAAATGGATAATAGGAATTGATTCATAGTAGGCAAATAATAATCGTAGTAGAAAATTCCATTTGTCATTCTTGTTGTTATTAATGGATTTCGGGCTTTTGTTTTATTTCAGGAACACATTTAGTCCAAGTCCAAATCATACTATTTTGTAAATGAATTTGTTTCAGTGGTATCGATCCTGCAAAGACATGTTAGTTACTAATATACTACCCTGACAAAGAAATTTGGTCTAGTGGCTTTATGATTTGAAGGCTTGCTTTTGTTTGATTGATTGTTCTATGTATTGAGAATATCAAATAGCCGCACTAAGACTATGGCATATACCATAGTAGAAGCAACTGTTATCAAGTGACGTATGGTTTCCATAGCCAACTTTTCAATTTTTGGCTTTCATTTTGCTTCCACGGCCTACTCGGTGAATTTCAATAATAATTTTTTTCTGATCTAGTTTCTGGTTAGATACCAACTTGTGATATGTCATTAGAAAGGGAATTGAATGCTGAATAAAGCGAAAAGGAAAAAAAATAGAGTTTTCATTTAAAATAATAAAGTTGATGTTACTTCCGGTCAGACCGGAAGTTAACTTCGACATGTCAATATGCTCAAATTCTAGCTCTTATGTCATTATATCGACGCTCCAAATTTCTTAAACCTATTTCATACAATAACTGAGATATTCCGTAGGCAATACTTCCGTAGCCACCCGGTATATAAATATATCTATATACTTATATACATATACATACAATTCACCACTATATCCCACTACAACCTTATGGTTATATATGGGAAACAATATGTTTATACTAGTAGGTAGGGTTATAATTGTATATACAAACTAGATTACTTGGAACCAACAAGAAATCTTTATAAACCTAGGCAATTGTTAGATATTAACTCCATGTGGCACTGAATGACCCAATATCCAAATGTATTCAAACTTATAATACTCTACCAAATTTCATCAAAAACAAAGATAGTTATGCATCGTTCAAAAGAGAACTAATGATTTATATGAATGCAATCAATACTTAGTATGTATTTTGTGTTTTTTTGTTATGTTTTTTTTTTGTTAGGTTAAATATGCTTCAAGACTGTACCCAAATATAAAATGTGCATTTTTGTTTGATGTTAACTTGATTACTTGTTTATTCATCATTAAGTTTAAGTTCCATCACCAGCATTATTGCTGATTTGGAAAAAAAAAATACTATGAATTGTTATAGTTGTATGTTTATTTGTTCAATAAAGTATTTTTTCTAAAAAAAAAAAAAATTTACAAATTCAAAATATTAAATTTCATCCATTCCGTCAAATATAATTATAAACATTCAAGTGTTGAAAAGGAATATTCTCAGATAAATTATGAACATACAAAAATGGATATATATTTATATAAAGCAATACATTGAGAATTCGCATTCTCTATGTGATGAGAATATTTACTCTTTTTCAGTTAATTCAATAGAAAACAACTACTTTCCTGGCTATATGCCAGGAAAGTAGTTGTTTTCTATTGAATTAACTGAAAAAGAGTAAATATTCTCATCACATAGAGAATGCGAATTCTCAATGTATTGCTTTATATAAATATATATCCATTTTTGTATGTTCATAATTTATCTGAGAATATTCCTTTTCAACACTTTCATACCCAATCAGGGGGTTCAAACTTGAACGATGGAAACTTGTGATTTTTATAGACCTCTAATCGCAGATTCGTGATAGAGTCTCAATTCAGAATTCATTTCCACGCCCTGTATGATGAATGTCAATTTATCATACACCCAAAAGCATAAACATTCAAAGGACCCCGCACTTTTAGTACGTAAAATGGTTCTCGGTGAAATTTTCTGAATTTTCAGTATGTTGTAGAATTCGATGAACTGATTGAACCTGCAGAATCGTGAAGTTCTTTGATGAACAGATTCTGAGATACAGGGCGTTGAAGTTACAAATCGGTATTTTTCATTTAATTATTTTCTCGAAATTCAAAGATGCCAAGTACAATTTTCTTCGCTCATGTCATTAACAAACCTCCATATTACTCAACATAATTCAGATGGTTCAGATAATGTAATTGTTTACAGAGTGAAACATATAAACATTTCAGTGATGTCTGAAAATTCGATGTAATAATGAAATATCGAAAAAATAATTTAGGCATGCAATAAACTATTCTCATTCCATCATGAATCACAATTCATACATTTCATACAGGGTGATTTGAAAAATTGGTGACACCTAAGACCGATTTATTCATACACATCCTGTATATTCGAGTGAATTGTTAACCTCCCAAGATAGCTGATACCGTATGAACATGATTTCGTTGAGATTATAGGGTGATCATGAAGATTTTCGATGATGAAAATGACAAAAAATCGTGTTTTTTGAAATCACCCTGTTATTCATGATTAACTCGGTGAAATTCCCTAATTATTTTTTAATATATTCATCATTCGCTCCTCATCGCTGTCTTGAAAATTCAGTTTCCTATCATGACAGGTGTCATAGTTATTAATTCAGGAACTTACCATTTGCATGAAGAGTTGAAGAGACTTGTTCACTTATTACATTCGCATAGTGGCCGATATTTTTCACAAATAGTGAAACGTGAGAATGTGGAGACGAAAATAAGTTTAGTATTCATATACAGGGTGAACATTAGAAATCCAATAATAATAGCAGATATATGAATTTAATAATATTAATATAATGTACAGATAGTTAGGCGAATTTCGTTGGTAATATGAAAATGATGGAAACGCCTGAATCTGAGTGGAAAGCAAATGTGAAAAAATCTGTCGATTCCAGGATTCAACTCTCCCTATCAGAAATGGAAGCGTGAAGGACCGAATCATTCTTCCATCTCCTAGGTATTGTTCGTTTTTCATTTTGGCAGAGCTTGTATACCAACGAAATTCGCCTAAGTATGTGTACATTAAATTAAATTCATATATCTGCTATTGTTATTGAATTTCTAATGTTCACCCTGTATATGGATACTAAACTTAATTTCGTCTCCACATTCTCTCGTTTCACTATTTATGAAAAATATCGGCCACTATGCGAATGTGAGTGAACAAGTCTCTTCAACTCTTCATGCAAATGGTAAGTTCCTGAATTAATAACTATGACACCCGTCATGATAGGAAACTGAATTTTCAAGACAGCGTTGAGGAGCGAATGATGAATATATTAAAAAATAATTAGGGAATTTCACCGAGTTAATCATGAATAACAGGGTGATTTAAAAAAACACGATTTTTTGTCATTTTCATCATCGAAAATCTCCATGATCACCCTATATATCTCAACGAAATCATGTTCATACGGTATCAGCTATCTTGGAAGGTTAACAATTCACTCGAATATACAGGATGTGTATGAATAAATCGGTCTTAGGTGTCACCAATTTTTCAAATCACCCTGTATGAAATGTATGAATTGTGATTCATGATGGAATGAGAATAGTTTATTGCATGCCTAAATTATTTTTTCGATATTTCATTATTACATCGAATTTTCAGACATCACTGAAATGTTTATATGTTTCACTCTGTAAACAATTACATCATCTGAACCATCTGAATTATGTTGAGTAATATGGAGGTTCGTTAATGATATGAGCGAAGAAAATTGTACTTGGCATCTTCGAATTTCGAGAAAATAATTAAATGAAAAATTCCGATTTGTAACTTCAACACCCTGTATCTCAGAATCTGTTCATCAAAAAACTTTACGATTCTGCAGGTTCAATCAGTTCATCGAATTCTACAACATACTGAAAATTCAGAAAATTTCACCGAGAACCATTTTACGTACTAAAAGTGCGGGGTCCTTTGGATTTTGAAGTCAATAGTCATAAACACGAACGCATAACCAGACAAAAAGATATGTTAACGCTCATCAAAATTAAATCAGATATGTGTAAAAGATTCATTTTATACAATGGAACAATTCTCTATAATGAATTACCTGCCAGACTAAAGAAAAAATTAAGTGTTGAGAAATTCAAGAAAGAACTGAAAAAATACTTATGTCTTTGATTCTCTTTATATCATCCTGAATCAATTCAAGAAATTATATTCAACAGTCTCTAGAAGAAACAATATCATATTTATTATGTATATGATTTAAAAATGATTATCTGATTATCTAATTTTCTTTTTTTTTTAGTTGCTCTTTCATAATTTTCCCTGCTATAAACATATATGTTTCTTGGCAATAATAAAGATTATTATTATTATTGTAGAAAAAAGTGTATATTCCATATTTTCCTCCTTTGAAAAAACATATATTATTATTATTATTAATCTTGAATAATCATACATGATGAATAAAGTCAAACAACATTCAGTGTGGAAAAAGTTCAAGCTAGTGCGACGAGTTGAAAACGGTATAGAACATTTTGCTAGGGAGGGACTCTAGTTGCTTTTATCATACCCATATTTTTGAGAAGAAATGATATGTAGGATTATGGCGAACTTTTACAAGTATTGCTGCACCTAAGTCTATACAATGATCTCATGTTGAAAGTGTCATTTGAATGAGATGAAATAAACTGCCAATATTTTTATTAATTTTGAGGATATGTATGTGATCTTTGGAGCATGGTTTTATAAATATCAAGTTTATCATTATGGTACACGCCTTATGAACGTTCACTTCATAACGACGTACAATTTTCTGTTACAAAAAATTTTGCAAATATCAATCATCGATTCCATTACCATTTCCCAATTTTTCATAGTTTCATTTCAGAATGAAACATTGATTTTTCAGCCCATATAGCTACAGAACATAGCAGATTCATGAGTAAATCAGCCACAAAGCATGCAAGAACATTGGAATTAGAATTCACATTGGCGCCAAGACCGAGATCAGAGAGAGCTGATAATTCTGGGAATAAAAGATATAATGAACGAAGAGAAAGGTAGGAAAATATATAATCAGTGGCGTAATTTATACCTTCATGTTATCTAGCGCCAACAATATTTAACCCTACTTGTGCACATAAAATATGAATGCATTCCACAACAATAATAATTCTAAAACCGCCACAGAGATTTAATTGACACTCGGTAATGTTAACCAGGGGGCCACCGTTGGTGGCTTCAAAAAGCTCAATTTGTATCCACTGAACTATAAATCAAGTGATATCATTGTTTTTGTTTGAAATCATACTGCAAGTTTTAGGATCGCCTCTTTTATATTCAAATATTGTTAGCAACTTTTGATGTTTCATAAGATTTTTTGTTTCTTGAAGGGATGAAGGTGGTTACAACTTGGAACCAGGAGGGCAATTAGGGGATGAAGATGAGAGGAATCGACTTATGGTGAATCCATTAACACCTCAAAATTTTCCTGCATTAGGCGGTGCATCTAGTAACATAACTGCAAATTCTAGACCCACCACTTCAGTCAATTTCACATCGAAATTGAGTTCCAACTTCAGAAATGAGGATTTTCCTACATTAGGTGAATATACCCACAGTGAATTACATTGGTGAAATTTCATAGGGGAAAATTACTAATATACCGTCTCTTCATAAAAAAATGCCTACTCTCAAATCAGTTTAATAGTGAGGACCTAGGAAAAAAATCGGAAGAAAGACACTTTCTTCTTTCTTTCCTTCTTTACTTTTTTTTTTAGTTTTTTGCTAATGCAGCTAATGAAGTGGCTAGGAAACAAAATTTTCATGTGAGAAATTATTGGTTTTCGATTTTTGAATCAGTTTATTTTTATATATTATTTTCTAGATTCTTTTTGCAGCAGTTAAATCTTCCACCCATTCACGCTTTTCTGGAATTGTGGCAATAAATGGATTGGGTTGTTGGATTACATTTAATGACTCAATTAATTGGAGCATGAAACTTAAATGTTCTTATTGTCTTAAACATCAGAATTTCCAACAAAAAGCACTTGAGGATGGAATCGGAAGGAAAAAAGACGCAATAACACATTTCAGAATCATACATAACTTACAAGTCGGGTGTCAAAAGTATTACCGTGAAAGAAAAATCAACCGAGTGAATAGTGAAGACTGTTGTTTGTCTTACGTCTCACAAGTGATTCCCGATAATCCCAGATCTACGAGGCTTGCAGGGTTTCCATGCGTTGTCTGTTGACCCAAACTAGGTTTATTTCCATCCAATGTGTGAATGAAGAGCCTTTTACATGAAAAGAATAATTTTTAACTGATTTTGATATGGGTATCATTTTTGTAGTTTGATTGTTAATTCAATAGAGAAAGTAGTAAGTTGCCTAAAAAACGTTGAACATAACATCCGGAAAAAAGCTCTTTACAGGGTTTGTAGGCTTTCAGGCCTTTCTTTTGGCGTCTGCCTAAGATTTGCCCAGGCATCCATTAATTATCCTTTCCAGACATAACGTAAATAACTACCACCTTTATTTTTGTTAGATTTTCCTTTTATATCTAATTTCAGTCATATCTGGAATTGTTTTTTGGAAATGGTACCTACTGAAAATCTCTCAAAACATTATTTTCATACTTCGCTTCTTTCAGATATCAAATGAAAAATATCCTACACCTCAAGTTGACTTATAAATTATAAATACTCTCGGTGCCCTTGACCTCCTTTGTGTCCGACCGTTAGGGTGAAGACACACGGAGTGGTTTTGGCCGAGTCGGCAGCCGACTCGGCAGTCGTCGAGTGAAAACACACGAGTCTGTCGCTGAGGCGGCATTTGAAACACTAAACGCTGAGATGTTGTCTGTTTGTTGATACCAATAATTATGTCTGATGCGTAGATATGGAGTCTGATTCTGGAGAAGAGTTTCTGACATTAGTAGGACTGATTTATTGTCGATTGAAAAAAAACGAAACAGGCATATATGGATACACCCACTTATGCAGAATAGAATTTAAAAAAGTATGTTATATACTTTATTCAATGATGGAATCGAAATTTTTTAATTTTGTTCGAATGTCTCGAGATTAATTTTATGAACTATTGAATATAATAAAAGAATATATATCAAAGCAAGATACAGTAATGAGATCAAGTATTCCGGCAAAAGAAAAACTGGTGATAACACCCAGGTAAGACACAATCCATTTTCGGTTTTTATTAGCTATTAAGAAAAATATTAGTACAAATGAAGCATGAACGCTACAAAATGAATAACAACGTATTAACTAATCACTATCTTCCGAGTCCTCTGGTGCAAAAAGTTCTACGAAAGACTGTATTGAATTGGTTGGTGATTTCCATCGCAATTTGACAACAATGCCTATCTTTTGCCGCTAAAAAACCGCTCGCCGTGTGTATGCTCTCACTTGAAACAACTGTCTGAGCATACGCGGGAAGCAATAAAAACGCGTTCGGAACATCATCCAGATCATCGTACGCGCGGCAGCAGCGCTGCTCCATCATGCCCCATGGTCTATCTGTTTTGTTTCATTTGAAATACTGTGATCAGAGGCCGCCGACTCGACCAAAACCGCTCCGTGTGTCTTTACCCTTATCGTCTGGGGAGTGATTCTCAAAAGATGCTGTGGCACTTCAAATTTCGATATCTTCCAAAATATTCTTTTTCGACAAAAATTTATTTCAACTATGAAAAAGCCAAAATGCTGGAAGTGGAATGAAATGTTAAATAAATAGATACAAAGCTCAAAGTCATTTCCACAAATAATCATAAAATGAACAACAATAATGGTAGATGACATGTGAAAAACAACTACTTTCCTGGGTAATGCCACGCAGAACATTGAATGGGCTTGTATCACAAAAAAAATTTATTTCATAATTCGATAGAACTCACCCAAACTAGCTCACCACCGCAAACCGTTTCTTGCTGTGAACTCCCTACGTTTTATAAAAAATTATGGAAATCCCCGATTTTTCGGACCTCTGAAAAAGAGGCGATGATGTGACGTCAAAACCGTAATACTGAAACAAGACTATTCCAGACAGAGATGAGTGATACATGATTTCTGACTGAGTGAATTAGCGCGAGATCATAGTTGAAAGAATCAGTTGCCTCAGTCTCCGTCGGGCGTTTGGTATTTTCTTTTAACTATGGCGAGATAAGGTTTCTACGTCATAAGAGGGTCCGTTTTCAGAAGGTACTATTATTTATGTCCAAATATAAAACATCCCAGTTGATTTTTCGATCGAATTATGTCATCAATCATTATTTATGTATAGAAGGATCATAATAAACATGGTTCGAGTTCAAAGTTCTACTAAGGTGTACACGCCCATTACATCCTCTCGAAATCTATGCATCGACTCGTATATACGAATACTGATACAAGTGATTCTTTCCTGAATGCCTATTGATTTCGATATAGCCATTTATGAACATTGTGTGGAAATGACTTTGAGCTTTTTGTATTTAACATTTCATTCCACTTTGAGCATTGTGGCTATTTCGTCTTTGAAATTACGCCAGTCGGGCAACCAGCCACTCCCGTATGGGAATTTGGTGTGTTTCTCTCCTTCTTTTCTACTCAGATGGCGATGCTCTCATATTGTCGATTCGTATAAAGGAATAGTGATGCAAGTGTTTCTCTCTGAGCGCCTATTGATTTCGATTTAGCCAGGTTAACGCCCGACACCTACAGACCGGTTTCGAGCTCTTTGGCTCTCATCAGTGTAGGGTAGTCTCCAGCTAGCAGTCCGAAGACCGCCAGCTGAGCGTAACATGGATCAACAAAAATCAGGTCGGCACGTTATCCCCTCAGAGGCGTCTCTCATAGACAATATGAGTGTAACGCCATCTGAGTAGAAAGAAAGGAAAGAAACACTCCAAAACTGTAATTTCCATATCGGTAAGATGTGGGAGTGGCTGATTGTCCGACTGGCGTAATTTCAACTGAGCTCAACAGTTTCTAACAATGCAGAGACTCGTTATTTACATGAAAAAGCGTGAGATGTGTTGCAAAAATTAATTCAGATTCCCAACGACAGAGTGGAGTAATTGAATGTCAATAATTCATTATCAGTGCACTAGCCCATTGACGCGTTTCCTAACTGGTTATGTAAATATCTATTTTAGGAGGAACAAAAGCATCCCAACCTGCAGTAACGATCACAACGAATTCTTCTTCAGCAAAATCGAACAGGGCCCCAGAAGTTACCATTACCAGGACGACAAAAGGGCAGCAAGGATTGGCCAAAACTAACAACAATTTTCCGGTGTTGGGTGGTGCCAGTTCAGCTTCTAATAGTGGCAATACTGTTAGATTCAGCGTCAAGTGAGTAAACGTTAATTAAATTGAACAAAACTTCATTTCCTGAAGTTTTGTTAACTTTTTTCGTTTCAGTAATGGGCGGACGGATTATTTTTTTGTTTTATGTTTTTTGTACAATAATTGTATCAGAGTGGCTGGAATTGGAGCCATCATTGGGATCTCGAAAACCGTAGGAAATACAGTACCGGGTAAATCCGTTACCACCGATAAAACAAGGCCTGCATGCTCCGTGGGTGACGTCACTTAGTCAGGCCTAACCAGCGGCTCGAAACGACAAGCGCTTATAGCGCTATAAGGCGACCGCGTATTTCGATTTCAGTTTTAGATCATTATTGAGCCGATTTTGCTTTTTTTTTTGAAGGGCTTCCGGTTGAAAGAGGATGCCAGCCGTCAACTGAGCCCTTCTTCGCATCCCACTCGATTTTATTATGGAAAAACGAAGTTTCAAAGCAAAAACCAGAATAAAACACAAATACCCACCTACAGCAACCCATTCGAATTAAATATATTGGCAAAAATTGTATTGATTCAATCTCATTAGAGGTAAACTTCACACCTACTTATACAGGGCCCGCAGAACATAAACTTATCATGAGATTGATCGAAAGAAAATTGGGGAAAATGTATTTTAGTTTGATAGACATGCCGTTTGTTATACCTAATTACCTATATTTATCTTGGAGAATTCCTATTACCTAAAAAATTAGCCAGTGAGTGTTTTCAATTTTCTGTTGTTGGATTTTTTACCCAATTGGTCATTAGACTTGAAACAGTAATTTTTAAGTAGAGTGTTTGTAGTACATGTTAATATAATAGTTGCAATTTGATCATTGGAATGAATTCTGCATTCATTGCCACGAGGCAAATGACCGTTTTCAGAAAGAAATTTGAGAATGTATTGAGTCAGAAACGAAAGAGTCCAATGCATTCGAAATATGTTTCAAAACCCTCTTTTTCTGGTTATCAAGACATTTTCCCGAATTATGTATCTCGTTTTTATCTATTTCAATTAGTAATTCCTTGATTTGATTGATATTATTAGAGATAAAAGGTGTTTTCAGATTGGCTTTTAGAGATGTTTGTATCGCTAGGTCATACAAAAATGATTCCACATTCAAAACAAAATCAATCACAACCGAATATGTAATTACGGGCCCTGGAGAATAAGACAATTTGAATAATGTGACTTTTTGCAAATCGATAATTTTGAACCACTTTTCGGGCAACTGAAAAGACTCTAATACAACTAGAAATTCTTGAAATTCTGTGTAGCAAAATGATTTTTGGTAATTTTCGAATTCAATTTTACTTTTGGTAAGTGCTTGTGCCAAATTTTTAGTTTTCCATCACGACTTGTGCGTAATTTTACATCTTTCGATAAATAAGATGGACAGTTGGTAAATTGAGTGGGAATAACATCTCGTTTGAGCCTAGGAATTTTCAAATCTATTGTTAGTTTTGCCAGTTTTTGAATCGATTGCAGTAGATGAAGTAATAATATCATCTTTAGTAAAATGTAATTCACATACTTTACTGTACTTAGATGGACTCGTAAAATCCTTGCGGTGAATTGCATGTACCCACTTTTTCGATAGTTCCTTGTCCAACGGGAAACTAAAAGCATGAACTTTTGGACCACCCACATAATTCCCCCGACAAAAGGGAACACAACACTTGTAAGGCATTGTTATTTCGCCTATCACAACACGAAATATTTCACAAAACAGTAATTTCTCCGCCAATTATTTTGATGAATAAACAACAAGAGAATTCGAACGAGCACACGCGATTTACCTACGCCACCGTTCTTAAACAAAAACAAACTGACGATCGATCGACGCGAATGCCTTGGAAGATGGCCTGAGTATGCGACGTCACGAGCTGTTTACGTCAGAGTCTGCTGGCCTTGTTTTATCGGTGGTAACGGTAAATCATGGCAAAGTTTATATTACTTGATTTTTTGGGATTTTCTCTCCTCGTTTCTATAAAATGAAAATATGTGTATTATTTCAATATATTTGTAGTGGTACAAATCAGATGATTTGCCCCAAAATGTCACTGCGTTTAAAAAAATTTCCTATCTTTTTTGAACGCAGTGACATTTTGGGGCAAATCATCGGATTTGTCCCACTACAAATATATTTAAATAATACGAATATTTTTATTTTATAGAAACGAGAGAAAATCCCAAAATATCAAGTAAAATGAATGTACCACCTCCTCGATTAACCTACAGACAGTATTTATGGCAAAGTTTCGTAATTTTATGCATATAACAACTAACAAAATGCCTTCAAATTATTTGAATAAATATAAACACCAACCTGGATTTATTAATTTATTATCATTGTTATTAAATTTTTCTTACATTTGGTTAGCCCAAAAGATATGAACCATCACAAATTTTTCATTCTCTAATGTTTGACATTCAATACCAAACTGTAAATTACTGTAAATTTTTGTAAACGAAGCATTCGAGAATATAGATTTGTGCTTGCTCATAGTTTTTGAGGTGATGAAAAGTGGATTGAAAAATACAGGTCCGTATTTGAAAAAAAAACTTGATATTGGTTTCTAGAAGATCAAACGTCGGATTTCAAATTTGAAAACGCCAACTCGTAGGGAAGAAAAAGTAGCCATGATGAAGTGTCATTAATTTCAATTAATGTATCCAAACTTGCTAAGTTCGATTCCCTGGCAGAACAGAAAGTTTTTATTTAAAAAACGAGTTATAAATTCTAATTGTCGCCTCGGCTGGAGATGATTCTGGGCGATTTGCTGTTGCGTTCCAATTAACGATGCTGTTCCTAAGGTGGTGTATGGAGTTCGTAACAAACACAGAACACTCATGGGCTGAAGGACCTTTTGTAAGGTCGATGGCTAGTTGGTATGTACATACATACCAACGAAGTACATACCTGGTGACACAGAATCATGGTATACCCCCCTTTTCTTCTTTGTTTTTCTAGCTATGTTTCTGTAATTTGGTACATCGAATATACTCACCAGAGGGCACTTTCTCACATTTTTGGATTTTTTTCCATAACCATTTTAATGATTATTATAACGAATTCAACGATACCGTGTTTGATTGGGATATATAAAACGATTACGAAGGTATTCGCGTTCGAAGCTTCCATATTCTCAATGAGTGTGACAGAAAGATGTTTGGATATTGCGCCGTCACAACCATTGAGCATATGGAAAAATGGAAAAATCATCTCCACTACTTTATTACTTATGTAAATCAATCAAGGGGACATGTTTCGGATTTATCAAAGTCCATCTTCAGCCGTTTTTTAGAAGTTACTGCAAGCAAAGGCATGCGAAAATATACATATTAAAAAAAACGAAAAGTTGACTTACATGGAGGTGAAACAGTATTTTGAATTGGATGCCGATGAATATCTCATTAGATGAATAATCTGAGATTTAGTGCTTTGAACATCGGTAAAGAAGTAATCCAGGCAGTTCTTCTTTTCTTGGCTAAAATTGTTTCAGAAATTGGGCATGTTCAAACAAAATCTACGATATCTGGGGAACAACTTTTTGTAAAAACAGGAATTCACTGTGATAAACGTCGATAAAAAAAATCGAGGTACATAACCACACAATGCCACAAATAATAATCGCGCGAAAGGCAGCTGCGATTGATCCGAAGATGATCGGACATCGTCGGGTTCAGAGAGCCTCGAAAGTTTCAGGTTGAATTTGAAGATGCATTCAAAACTGGTGACTCATCATAGCTGGTATCGACTTTTTCAAGGATGTTTCTATCGTCATCATCGTCCTGGTATAGTACAAAAATGAATGGCAGGAATAATAATATTATTAGTGTTCCTTTTTAGATTTCAGCAGGTTGAGGGAAAACTAAACCAGACATCTGTCAGAGTACGGTCGTTCAGGATCTCGGGCCACTTTTTGCTTTGAGATTCACTCCATATGTCACGTGACAGTTTGAAACTTGCTCCACTCCCGTATGCGCAAGCCGAATTTACCTTTTCTCGCGTTGTTGGGTATCCGGCGTTAACATTATTCGTTCAGCAGTAATCGTGCGAAAACATATTTTTATGTTGTCGTGGTTCACATCCATACTCTGTATACAGTCCGTAAAATCAAGGAGGTATAGTTGTATTAATAAAAGAGCCTCAAGGTATTAGAGAGAGAAATTATAGTCAACCTATTTGCGCAAAACGTGCTATCGGTAATGATTGTTTACCAAATGTTGACAGTTATCATAGGTTGTCAAAAATACAAAGCATTGGCTGAGCCAGTTTGATACGCTTTTTTATTGAATACAACTGTATATCTATGGCCAATACGAAAGAGTTTGTTCTTTGGTTTGTTCTTATGTTTGTCAACAAAATTGAAATTGAATATTTATGAAAAAAAAGATTTGACAGGAAAATATTGAATTGAATTAATGTACAGCCGTAATATTTTGTCCTTTGAATTGGCTCTTCATAAATTTTATTTTTGGCGTAAAAATCGAGAGGCGTACAATCAGGCGACCTGGAAGGCCATCTCACAGGTCCATAAGTAGTAATTAATTTAGCACCAAATTGATTTTCGAGATATTCCCTAACCAATCGTGTATTGTGCGGTGTGGCACCTTGCTGAAACCACATTAACTCATATTCAGCAAGTGGTATCTCGTCTATGAAATTCGAAATCTCATTCCTCAATAGCTCTAAATAACGTGGACCATTCAAGACTCGAGACGCTTTGCACTCTCATACAAAAATCAAAGACAGAGAAAGATATATGGATGTACTCTTCCCAGGACTTGTGGAGGACGGAAGATGCGAGGATCCTTTATCTAAGCGAAAAACATATTCTTGTCCTTGTCTGGCAAAACATATGATTTGCTTCAAAATCGTTTGTGGTTATGTTTGATTGTCACAGCTTGTCTAGTGACCGTACTCTAATATACAAAAAACGTCAAAACAGCAGTGTAGTGTCAAGTACATTTAGGAACTATAGTCATTACTACTGGATATATTTCAAATCAGGTCGTAGTTTTTAACAATTTTGAACACATCAGTGTTTTTTGTTAAAGCTTCACAAACGATAGTTTACACAGTCATATTCGTCAAAAAATATAACAAGCTGTGTTGGCAAAACATGTGTTTTTAATAATTTCATAAAATTCTCGTTTGTGATGTTTTCACAATTTATTAAGGATTTTCATCAAACAACATAAATATATTAGTGTTAGCTAGAGTCACTGTTAGTGTTTATGAATGTTTAGATTTATTAAGTTACACATCTTGCATTGTGACAACAGCATCATAGTCGTTTCGCGCTTTTTCATTCAATATTGTTTGAATTTGACAATAAATTTCATGAACGTCAGCATTGAAATAGAATTTCATAAACTATCGAGAAAACAGCATAAATGAAAATGTCCTGCTGTGTTATGGAATTCTGAAGGGAATGGCGATTTCATTTCTTTAATTTTCCAAAGGAAATATCAACCATTCCCCTAATATAAGGAATGTATGAAACGGCCTAGATAGAAAGTTAATTTGAAGACAAGCAAAATTTGTGAGGTAATTACATACATCAAAATTCACTTCTTATAATAGCAGACTGGAATGAAAATATATTTTAGGCCATTTTCAAGCAGAAGATTTATAAGATCCGTTATTCCATTGATTTACAAAACAGACTATTGAAAAAAAATCCAATATTATCATCACACGAAATGCAAAACAAAGTTATTATAGAGAAAGGGAAATTGATTGCAAAACTACATAAAGAAATTGAACATTTGAGAACGAAACTGAGGAAATCAAGTAAATTGCAACGTGATTGCAGCAAAAGGTGGAAAATCAAAACAATCTTCATGTTTTGAACTCTATCACTGGGGTACAGTATTATACAGGGTGTTTCTTAAGTACGTGTAGAAAATTCAGGAGCATGTTGCTGACGTCAAAATAAGAAGGAAAGTTCGTATAAACTGGTACTGGTACTGGTGGGGGACGTTTCCACGTCAGCAACTAGTCCCCAATGGGACCTTTTTGCAAACCCCAAGTGTTTTCAATGACTGATGTGGTTCGCTCAAGAGAGCTGGCTAACATCCTTTTCAGGCCCGCCCATCAGCTCTCTTTTCAGAGTTTTTCAGCTGTGTTTTGTAGGCTAGTAATGTACTCACTACCATATGCGCAGTGGCAGGCCTGCTAACTATCATCGTTAACCCCCCGAAACCGAGGTCTACTTAAGCAGCTGGCCCGCTCTCACGCTCAGCTGGTAGTTTTCCACACCCACCTACATACACCGTCCTACTTCTTCTCTGATGCTCACAACCACATCATCATATCTTTCTGCGTGTTCTGTGTAGGCTTTGTTACTAACTCCATGCGCCACTTTAGGAGCAGCACTGTTAATTGGAACGCAACAGCGAATCGTGCAGGACTATCCCCAGCCGATGCTCCGAAACTTTACAATATTTAATTCGTAAATAAAATATTGAAAAAAGTTCCTTGCCCGTGCTGGAAATCGAACCCACGACCTTGCGGTCGTGAGACGGACAAATTCGTATAAATATATGTCCGAAAGTTATTCGTTTCTGAGATACAGTGTCAAAGTTTGATTTTTATTTCGGTTTTTTGTTAATAAATTCCAAAATAATTGTGATATTTGAATGAAGTATGGTTTCTATTTTTGATATTGAAATAATATTCATATTTTTATTTTATAGAAACGAGAGAAAATCCCAAAAATTTGGAATAATGAATGTACCACCTCGATTAACCTACAGACAGTATATCCATATGTGTGTCTTTTTTTGTCATATTAAAATGTTACATGAATTCTTTCAATTTTTATTACTATTGTTCTGCGAAAAGTCTATCGCTATATGAATTGAAGTGGGTGTTTATACCCTATTTCTATTTTCCATCTTCGACAATACACTACACTGTTTTACCACTAACCAAACCGATTTTTTAACGCCTTGACACGTGTTTCGCTAACTATGTTTGCTTCTTCAGGAGAAGATTAAACATTGAAACAGTTAAAAAATCGGTTTGCTTAGTGGTAAAACAGTGTAGTGTATTATCGTGCCAAAGGTTCCAGTCTTCGATATATCTTCGTCAATGATTGGGCAGAAAATCTAACCTCTAAAAGCGTATCTGATAATCAGGCGCTACTAGGGAAACTGAAATGACAAAGAGCAGAATATATGTCTTATTCTTTTATTCACTCAAACCATTGTAAAATAGAAAATAAAAAAGGACAGTAGTTCAGCAGTGTCTCAACTCTTATCTAACTAATACCATCCAGTGACTCTATTATTAGCCACCTGATTTATTCATTATTCTTTTTCAAATTACCTCTTTTTTTCAGTAGCTCGCAAGATTGTGGTACTCCAAAAGTGTCGATCCAAGTAAACCACAGAGCGAATGGCTCTGTCACAACCCAGATCACCACAAGTGCCTCCACTTCTACCCAACAGAGGCCCACAGAGGCATTTCCTGTTCTCGGAAAATCTGCCAACGTCAATGCTCAAACTCAGTGGGTACAGGTTAAGGCTAAGAAACAAGAACCGAAAAATTTGAGAGTAGCAACACCTCCCCAGCTACCTCCAAGTAGCTTAGATCAATTCCCTACTCTTTCTAAAAAGAAGAGTTCCGTCTCTGTCCCTGTGTCCAGCAATTGGGTAAACCTTAACAGTATAAACAATACTAATAATAGAAATAATGCGAATTTGAAGACGAGCACAAGTAATGGTGTTAAAAGTAGCGTTTCTTCAGGGGAAGGTAACATTCGAAAAAGTGAAGTTTGGCAAAAGCAAAATGTCGAAAGTAAGATGGGTGATCTCAAAATCACAGAGAACGGTGAATCTAAGAGTAAAAACAAGAAAAAGAAGAGCAAAAACCCCGAAAGTGAAAATAGCAAACCAACTACCAGCAAACCTGAAAAACCCTGTGTGATAAAGAGTAATCCAACAAATCAAGCAAATAGCGTCAATAATACTGAGACGAATTCCAAAAATGGTTTAGTTAAAAAGCGGTCGGAATTGAAAATTGGAACCTTGTCTAACACTGGAGACACAGACATTCTTTCAGGTGATTTTCCGTCTCTGGGTGATACAAAACCACCTCCTGGTTTCAACGTTAAGCCACCCCCAGGTTTGACGCCTGCAGCTTTTCCTAGTTTAGGTGTAGCTAATGATTTGACTTTCACTTCGAGCAGTGGTCAAAGTTATTCGATAATGCCGTGCAATAACTACAGCCAGCCAAATAATTTCCATATAAGAAACCAAAACTTGATAAAACGCTTTATGAAGATTTTGAATGGTGATGCAATCAGGGAATTTAAGACTTATTCGGATCTATTTCGAAACGGAGGTTATCCAACTAGTAAATATTACGAACATTGCAAGGATATTTTATTGGACGATTTTGAGGACATTTTTCCTGAACTTTTAGTGCTTTTGCCCGATATCGAAAAGCAGCAAGAGCTTTACAAGGTGTATAATGGTAAAAATAAAAAGAACCTTATTATCTGCGAGAACTGCAAGCAGATAATCTACAAAAAAGAGCTGTCCGATCATTACAACTATCATATATTAGATAATCAATTTCCTAGTCTTGGAAAGGCACAACAGGTCAACAATGTTTGGAAAAAGTAGATATATAAAGGAATTCATGAATCGGTTAAGTTAATAAAGCAATATTTTCTGTTTGGCTGCACTATTTGGCTACTGTTTATTATAAAGAGTTTACTTTTTGAAAGTCTTAGAATGCCTATTTTCAGTTTTGTTGTCACATATTCTCTGAACTAATAGTTTAGCTACATAATTGGGTGACCCATCAACTATTTTTATAGGTGGATATAGCCAGAACACGATTTTAAAAATGTTTGTCAAAAAATCCTCGGAATTCGTGAATTGTTGGATTTAGAATTGAAAGTTGAAGTTATACAGACCATTCCATAGTTCCCAATTTACCCCACTTGGAGGTTTAGTAGCCGTACACCATTGGATCAGTGAAGAATTCAACACCTTGTGTTTGAGTTGTGAAAAATTTTTTGGAGTATATTTATCAAGAAGGATCTCATTTTGCGAAGGACAAGTAATTTTATATTTACACACTTCTAACTATGAAACCACTTTCATGATAAGTCCAAGGAGAGTGAATATTCTGCCTATTAAGTGTTGTTCCTGGAAAATTTTAAATTTACTAATTACGTGAAAGAAAAGTATACCTGCTAAAATTCACAGTTTGTACTACAAAAAGCGGCCAGTTCAGAGGAAGAAATTGAATTGAGAAATACGCATGCGTAGATGTGTCAATTTGTATGATCACGTTTAGGTATTTGAAAGAACTTTCACTCCTTCAAAGAGTGGATGATTAGGTACCAAAAGTAGTTCCGTCATACAAGTCATAATTGGTCCTAATAGATCAGCTGGTACAATTATTTGGCACTTGCCCAAAGAAAAATGAGTTTTTGCGTATTGCTTGAGAAAAAAACGTCTCAAGTACATGAATCCCACGGTTTCGCCTTGTTCAATTGGTTGACAGCGTTGAACTATGTTGTTATCGAACCAAAGTACAACTTGTAACTTGATGGATTTTATAGTGTTTTTACAAAATCAAATCCATTTCTGGTAATTCGTTTCCCTACTTGTCCATTTGCAGCTATATTTTTATCACTCACCAACAATAATGAATTCAACTCGATGATTCTGTGGATTTATTGCCTATTTTATTTTATGAAATGCTTGAAGAGTGACCATTATGTTCTGAACTAAAATATTACAGATAATATAATATTTGGCTGTGGCTAACCATTGCTTTTTCAGTTTTCCATTTTTTATCTATATACAGTAGTTTGGTGTTTCTTGCTGAATATTTTAATCAATATATTTTCAAATTCAATATTCTTAGTGTTTAAAAGTTTGTAAAATATGTAAATACAAATTTTATGTGTGTTATACTTTTATAACAGATATTGTTCATATGTTTAATATTTTTGGAATAAAATATTTGGTTCAATTTGAGTTTATTATTGTTCAATCAAATTTGATGGTGAATTCAGGCGAATGCATTCTACCTCAACCTCTATAGTTTCAAAAGTGCAGTGTTGCTATTTGTACGTTGAACTATGAACAACTTCTATATTCCCAATGGAATAAGTACTCTTTGTATTCTTAGATTTCATGAATGGCTTTTGAATCCTGAGTATTTTTCCTTCCTACTATTTTTAGTCACAGATGCAAAATACCTTGAGGTATTTCGTTCCTGAACCGCAGAAGTTATTATCTGGACACAAAAATAACTTTAGTTCAGTTTTCTGAAACGCCCTCTGTATAGATATGAAAATAATGAAAGCTGACAATTTTTTCAACAAATATATTGCATTGAACACACCTGGGAGGAAACGAAACTTTGCTTCCACAATATACAGGCTGTTCCACCTAAACCGCTCATTATAGACGTATTTGAAATTCAAAAAAATGACACTGTTCTGAAAATTTTTTTACAGGGGTTATCGATTGGGTCCTGTTCAATGACATTTTCTGGATACCTATGTCTAGCTGGTTTTGAAAAATGCTGAAATATGCCTTTTTTAGTTTGCACCTTCCTCTTGGAGAATTCATACCTGTCATTTTTCAATGTTTCGGATTCATTTTCAAGTTAGTGAGAAAACAATAATAATAGACGCTTTCATTGTTGAATAATTTGACATGGCAAGAAGAAAAAATTGAATTGAACATCTATCAGAAGGTAGAGTTAGCTCCAAAACGTTCCTAAGAGGAACGAGAACGTGCTTTCTTCCACTCAACCTCAAAGAAACTAAAACTAAACTTAAATACAAAGATGCAGTTGTTAGCATGCAAGCTACATATTTCTGTGGACAATTATGACACATAATAGGAGACGCAGGTTCGAACATACGATCGTGAATGATGAGCGATACCAATAAAAATATTAGGTATGCCGAACCTTAGAGGCGGAGTTTAATGGGCGAATGTACTGATAATGAATTATTGGCATTCAATTACTCCACTGTGTCGTTAGGAACCTGAATTAACTTTCACAACACTTCTCACCCTTTTTTTATGTAAATAATAAGTCTATGCGGTGTTCAAAATCATTTAATTCCAGAGCTCATTTCAAACGTAACGTCATGGCCACCAATTGCGATACGTTGAATGAATGGTGACGTCAGCTTTCATGCTATTTCGTTATTGGTCAGAAAATCTTCCATTTTCACTCATGAAGCAAGGTTGTCAAGTCACCACTTCGATGTTTGAGTCCTGTCGTTGAATAAAAACTAATAGGAGGAACTCATGACATTATAGTTCCTTCTTGACTTTTTCGAGCAACTAGCATGTCCATATATATTTTTTTCTCCATAACAAAATATCATGTGAATGTTGGAGATTTGGCAACATTGTGCTGAATGCTGAGAACTGACAGGACCACGCCCACAAGACGTGTGTGTACATACTCCTTGAGAGTGTGTATATTATTCCCTTAGAGCTTTAGTGAAAAAATAAAAAATGCAATTATATTTATATATGTATATATCATGAACGATTTTTAACAAAATAGAGCAGTTCAGCTACCGTTGAGAGAGAAAAAAGATGTCTTCCCCATCTGTCCTTGTCTTCAGTGTTCCAACATAAAATAATGAAAATATTATGTTGGCATCATTGGAAATGGGAAAAAATGGAGAAGAATATCATATTAACCTCGATATAAAAGAAGGTTAAAACGGTCTTCTTCTCCATTTCTTCTCATTTCCAGTTTTGGCAACATAAGATTTTCATTATTTCATGTTGGAACACTGTAGACAAGGACAGATGGGAAGACATTTTTTTTCTCTCTCAACGGTAGAACTGCTCTATTCCAGTGAGATCCGGTTCACCCCGCATTTTTAGGTGAAGAGGATTATATACTTTTCATATGCCTAAAAAGTCACTTCCAACATATGTCATTGGGTGGAGAGGAGCAAGGAAATTAATTTCGAAAAATTATAAAATTATTACTAACAAAATAAAATGAACAGAAATTCATAAAATAGCTATATCGTCTCAAGGTGGTGAACAGGACTGCCAACTGTTTGGACGCCCTCCTTATACTCACGACCCCTCTTGACAGCTTTCACAGCCCTCTCTAAATATTCCAAGTTATAACTGCGATGTCCTTCTGGCACAACCTTTTTTTCTTATTTATTCATAAACCCGGCATATTTTCTTCAAAGTTCCTCATAACTTTTTGATAATATAACCTAAACATTTTAGATCCGGCTCAAAGGATTGAGAACAGATTTTTTTTTATGTTAATTTCACATTTTTTTAGTTTGTATGTATTCTATGGATGTATCCCGTGGTAGGTTTTGTCAAACTATCAAAAACAGACCTATAATTCTAATCTAATTCAAACATTTTTGTCTACTCACCCGTGCTGTAAACAAACTTGTTGACTGGGTTATATTAATTAGCTATTTGTCGGTAAATGAAAGACTTCTACTACTTCCGCTGAACACCCCCGATTTTTTTATCCGCCTGGAAATAGGCTTTTCTCATTTAGCCTACATTGTGTTAAAATATACTTACACCTGGCTAATCAAAATCATCTCGATGGATTCCAACAGACACCCAAAAAAGTGCTTCCTCAGGTTGGTTAACGTGGGTTCTGGTGACAAAAAATATAACTGGGTCAAACAAGCCGAAGGGTTTTTTGAATCAATTGAAGCCCTCGATATCTTAAGCCAACACAATGCACGCCTCCTCCGAACAAATAAATCCCTATTTTTGTAAACATTTGAATCGAAATGTCACCAGGATGACGCAGAGCCCGCTATTCAAATTCTCGGTACCCTTTATTCAGTTTCCCAAATCTTGCAAACTCTGTCAACGCACAAAAATACTTGTTTTTCTGAGTCCCAATTCATATCACCAGAATTATCGCCCAAATGCGCATAGCACACTCTGATCTTCTGAAAATTTTGTTCAAATTAACATTTTATACAATATATTTCACGGAATTGTGCACGTTATTTAATAAGCACGAACAACAAACTCTTGAACATATTTTATTTATTTGTCCTATATACTCTCTGCTGTCAGACCAAATATCGTATCTTATTTGAAAAATCGAAACACTTTTGCTGTTGCTCTTCAAAATATAAGTATTGTTGAGGCCAAGATTCTTTTTATGAGTGTGTTCATGAAATCATGAAGCTTCGTGTCTTCATGGTCAACGAATGATTTCGTTTTTCTCTGCCTCTGACTGTTTCCTTAGGCAATATAATATGTACTTACCAACTTATACTACATAAATTGGCTGACCGATTCTCTAGGTCAATAATGTTAATATTTTTAACATTCTCAATATTTTACTTTGTAATACCTATACAATGACTTTGTCGATAAGAACTATTTCTTCTGACAATAAAGCATATTTGATGATGATGATGATGATTGTGCTATAACTTTTTTGTTTTTCTGAGGTTTCTAACGGGGCATATTTGAATTTGTATATTTATTTATATTTATACAGTTGTGACCCACTTCTAATGGAAACACCCCTGTTTCTTACGTAATCGTTGGGTAAGGATCCTGAAATTCGCTGGAGCGAGAGGTATTACAAAAATGCACTTTATGACTAAGTGGGGTCA